GAGTAAGGGAAGTGATAGTCCCTAACAGTGATAACACGGAATAATGCGAAGGAAACGCGGAATCCGAGAATCACAGGGAAATACAAGGCATTGGAAAAAGAAGTAAAATTAGGGGTTAGTCGAGAATACAAAAAGTTGCATAGAATGGGTATTTGGACGAGCTACTCGTGCCACTGCGTACAGCTGGTGCAGTACGCTACCTGCGGGCAAAGTGTAGGTCCCGGTGCGAATGATACAACTCCACAGTTTCCACAACGCCCAACAACTCGTCCGCCTTTGGCATGCATCGACTTCAGGGTTTGGGGAGCCTTTAATACGGACTGTCTTGACTGTTTTTCGAACCGACAGCCTCCCTTAGGCTATAGCTGGGTATTCATAGGTTCATCACAAGGAGGTACCTCAGAAACCGTTTTTAACGTGAACTATGCCTTTAAGAATGGTAATGTAAACTGTTTGCGCGCTTCAGAGCGGATGAATTTACCTCCTCCTCACACCTGTATCGTGTAGGTGAGTAATTTTTGAGACGCTGCATTTAGAGAGCGCAGTTAAAGGCTCCATTCGGTTCCAGTGCAACTTAGCATGAATGTTATTTTCTCTTCTGTTTTTTATCAGTTAGCGAAATTTCCTCCCTATATTGAGTATTGGACATTTTCACTTATTTACGAACTTTGCACCTAATGAAATTGTTTCCTGCAGTCCTACAAAGGAAACATCACAAAACCAGCCTTATAATCGGGTTGGGTAATCGGAGCATATATGGCATGGGCGGCTTTATCGTTCAATCAAGTATCGAAGTTAAGGAGAGAATCATTTCTCTTTGTAGTTATATCACTAGAATTTCATGAACTCTCTTTTCTAGGCTGAGTAAATACGCTCACCATTGTCTTCCTCATGACAAAATAAGGGTAGATTCCAAGAATTGTTCAAAATTCAAACGACATACTCCACCTACTCTTGTATCATATGAGATTCGCAGTATACTATCAGCTCGCGTCTAGCACTCCACATGCTGGAGGGTATTGCGTATTACTGCGTATTCTCTCGTGATTTGAACTTTACTTGTCCACTAATTTTTTTATGTAGACTTCCTTTGACAGATCGTAGGTAAGCGTTTATGGAGCGTGGCTATCTTTAACAGATCTAGAAGGATTCGTGTCGCATGAAAACATTATTAAATCGATTTCGAGATTGCAAGTACAGACCATCCTTACAAATGGAAGGGTGAACTAGAAGTTTACTTTTTCAAGAACTTTTAACATATTCATGTGCATATTTTATATAATACAAGCGCATATTCTTCTAGTTCTGATCGCGTCCATGTTCCATTCGAGCCTTCGGGAGATAGCACTGTAAATGTCCAAGGCACGAAGTGAATAGCTACTGCAGCGTGAATGAAGTAGTTTTTTTCAGATCCACCTGGACATCGATGCGGCTCGTAAGCGATTCAAGGACCGAACTCTGAACACACGCAATATAGGTAACTGCTCTCTTCAGAAGTGATGTATTTTATTTTCTCCCCCTGTTCTATTTCTGCATTCTTAAGATTTCTCCGATTCTATTGCTAAAAGGCGAGGAAAATCGTATGGAAGCTCGATGTATGTGCTCGAGGTTGTGGGTAAAGGTAGGCTAAAGGTTTAATCACATTCGATCTCTGTCCCAATCCTACTTTATAATCTTTCAGAATATGGTGAGCCCGAAACTACTGATCAAAAGTACAACAGAATAGCTATTGAAATAGATGAACTAGCGCAACAGCTACAGGTCCCAATCCTTTTTGAACGTTCTTTTTTTTGTTGAAAGTGGAGGATTGGATCATGAACTTTTAGGAGGACTCAGCTAAATCTAATTCTACTGTTAACGAGTCTTCAATCGCAGCCCTAGCAGATGAGTTGAAGGTGCGCTTTGATGCAACCTTTTCTGCTATTCTTCCTTGAAGTTCCTTAGGGTGTTTGTTAATACAATAATGGCTTGTTAAGGCTGTGAAAGTTTCGAAGGTCTCTGGTGGTGTACGAACATCCAAAGAAAATGAAGCTCCAACAAAGACGAGCACCTCACCAGACGGCAAGGTATGCAACAATAGCATAGTCTCCTATTTGATCCTTTTCGATTTCGAAGTCGTTCGTTGAAACAAAGTTTTTTTTTTTTTGNAGTATCTCTTAAGCTTCGGGAATGTTTGAAAGGAACAAGATCGATTTTGGTGGAAGTATCCTTCCTCGTACAACCTTAGTACACAGTGCCCTGCGTGAAGGGCTAAATTTTTGACTTCAATTGTGAATATAGTTTCAGCTTCTTTCCTTGGAGCAACGCCTACGTAGAATTGAGACATTAGTGGGAGAAGCGGATCCGTGTCGGCAACCAATTGCTGATTTTATGGAAGACGTGAGGTATGTGGTTCATGAGAATGAATACTTTTATTTAACGTTGCGTGAAATTAACATGTTGAGGTTCCGACTTGATGTACTCAATCCATCATACATAGAGGGAATGGAAACAAAGCTTAATTCAATCATTTCAAAGTTAGATCAAGTGAGTATATTCAGTTGCTCATATGATTGTGTATATTCCGGGTCAGTATTTTCTCTTCTTCTACAGTATGTCTCACAAGGGGAGGTGATATCTGTATGTTCTTCGACTTTGTTTTTATCTTCTCCATTGGCCCGAAGCCTAGTTTTACACCAGAAATAAAGGGTTCAGCCATTGTGGGATCACCTTATCCACGTTATCGGTTACGACGGTACAAGTGAATGAACTCTTTTTCATCACACTACCGTATACGTCAAAGTCTAGAGCTAACCTTTGGAAGAGTTTATTCAGTTGATGCTATGTACAGGTTGATGATAAGCGACAGAAGTCCGTTGATGGTGAGATGGAAACGAAAGTGAACGATCTATTAGAACTGATGAGCAAATGGGATGTCGTATGTGCTGCAATGCCTAGTAATTTGAAGAAGCTTCAAGGACTCCATCGGCTCCACGAACAAGGTTTTTTTTGTCTACCAACCACTTTCAAACGTTTTGTACCAAATCTTTATCATAGAGGAGATTGAATGAACAAGAAAAGTAGTATTCTGTGTAATAGGTGATATATTTAACGAGTCTCAATGCCTTCATATTCTTAATGATTCTCTGGATTAAATCTAACTTCCACAGTAGCAACAAAGGTAGAGGTTGGGGCTCGTGCAAAGGGAAAATTGGTAGAAAATTGTTCACTATTGTTTGGCCACATTCAAGTGCCTGCCAACATAACTATGAAGATATACATATAGTTTCTTTTATCATAGATGTTTAAGTGGACTGGAATCGGTCTCGATTTCGTAGAAACATAACAGAGTGCTAAATCAATTGTTTACATTCTAGCACAACATTTCTCCGAGAGGCTTTCTCAATTGGTTGGAGTGCGAGATCAGATTGAGAAAGCAATTGCAGCTGATAGAATGGCTATGTGTGAACTTCAGGTATTCTTGTTCCCTGAGAGTTGTTAGTTGTGTTCAACACTATCTCAAAAACTGCCCAAAATCATTTTATTTTTGTGCTTTATTTCTGTACTTTGCGAGGAGCGTAATATAAGATACTACTCCTAAAAGACCAGGCATGTGATACGTTCAATGCTACTGTACCTTCGACAAACGGTTTGAGCCCTCGATATGTTACAGAGGCGGTAACGAAATTTTTGAAGAGAAGGGACTTGTTCGGAACTCTCAGTAGTACTAGCATTCATGGTATATTGTTCCAATGAGTCATCCTTCAAAGGCGTAGCGGCATGGTAGTAGTCATATGGCAAAAGTCAATGATGTGGAAGCAGCCAACACTGCAATAGATTCGTAAACAGAAGTCGTATCCTTTGGCTGCTCTCAGACCTCGACGACCGTCCGTCCATCCGTCCGTCCGTCCGTTCAACGCGTGCTTTGACTATTAAACGAGTTGCACAGGCGCTTTTAAACTTGGGTGTGCATTAGTTGACTAATGAACCTTAAAAATAGTTGATGGGGCTTTGCTTATCGGTCGTAATGTCAATGATAATAAGGCACGTTCAACGGCCTGCTAGAGTTAATATTATTCAAAATGGAGAACACTTTTTGTGGATGTAATTCCTAACGCGATGGCAAAGTCATTCTATCTTGACTGAAATCTTATCAGAACACAATTGGTCGTTATAACTTAGCCTATGCCCTTGAAATTGAACCGATTAGAAAAAGGTTTCGTACTTTGAGATTATTGTTAATTTTCACATTTTCTCTTTTTGACAATTCTCTTTCGTTTACAAACTTTTCCCCTGTAACCCAATAAGGTGCATAAAATTTCCAAATATATTTATTTGTACAACTCCACACGAGATTCACGATGCCTTGGTGGCTAACGTTTCGGTGAAATCGCCTTCCCCAGAGCCTGAAAGGATGGAATCAGATCTAAGAAATTACCCGATCCGAACATCTCCGCATCCCACAATATATAATTTTTTGAAACCAACATTTCACTGTTCAAATTAATATGCTATTTCTTTTCCAGGTAAAGGCGAAAGAGGATATATCAGCACTACTTGGTCAAGTTACCAATCTCGAGGAACGACTGAAGAAGATCGAAAAGAAATAAGCGCCTTCATTAGCCGTGGTTCATTATGCCCGTTGCAGCTTAGAACGTGTACATGATGCCGTTCTGCATAATTTTCAGCATGAACGTTTTGTAAAACCGTATTTACGTTGTTTGCAATGGGGATATGCTTTAAGCTGTCGAAAGCGCAGTTCACGTTAAATCTGGTTTCTGATTTTCTTCTTTGAATGAGCCTGTGACATCAAGTAATAGGCTAAGGGAGGCTACAAGTCGCTTGAGTGTGCCTTCGGGTTACTGTTCAACACATTCGCAGAACTTTATAATCCGTCTCGTACTTTATGGTCGAAAAACTACCAAGTTAGGGCGTAATAAGGGTCCCAAACGTCGGTCCGTCGACGTCTACGCCTAAGGTGGACGGCTTGTTAAGCGTTGTAAAGGTCGAAAAGGTTGCATCATACGCTCCGGGACCCAAACCTTGCACGCAGGCAGCGTACTGCAGCCAGATGTACGCAATGGCGCACACAGTTGAAAGCTTGTCCAAATACGTCTTCCATGCAATTTCTGTCGTCATATTCCTGTACAACCCCAAATTTTGCTTGTTTTTGGAGCCTCAAATTTTTTGAATACACCCAATACTTTTTTTTCTTACCTTTGCAACATTCTGGACACTTTCACTACTTGTCTAAAACCAGAAACCTCCTGAAAAAAAAACGTGAGCTGTGCCTTCAAGTAATGAGGAGAAAATCATCCTTGCAGCAATCTCCATGTTCCTTCCCTTCTAATTACTTTTGTTTAATAGAAAAACCAGAAACTTGGGCTCCTTGCATCTCCCCCACATATTTATTAACTGTCGCCTATTTATGTTTTTCAAATTTTTAATGAAGTGATTTATCATGAAAACGTAAGCTACCAATGTGCTGTTGTTTGTGGGAGGGGGAGGTCGAGGAGGTGTCAAGCTGGAAGACTGTCTTGACTTGATTGTAAGCTGAATCAGACAGTATTAATGTTGTTAATAAAAGGTCACAAAGTGGTTGGAACTACGGAAGCCGCTCAAATAAATTCAAATTGACCTAAGTTGGAGAGAGTTAGCTTAGTCAGTTGCCTCATATAGTCGCATAAATCGACCCTGATTGAAGTCGGTTGTCCATTATCGATCGTAACGTTTACAGTTGTGATCACACTTCAGCTCTTCAATTTCCACAAAGTTTTTTCAAACAGTACTATGAAGGGAACACAGCTGTGAAGGAGGGAAATACACAACATATCAATACTAATAATTGCGGCGACCAACATCCCCTTAGCGCGAACTCTACCACAGTGCACACTTATGTCCAAGGGGAGGAAAGTTTTGAATGAATGGTTCTAGTAGTAGCGGAACGTTTTTGAATAGGATTCTGGACTTCAGCTCCACCCTTTTCAAGCTCTCCACATCTGCCATCTCTCTTTAGCTACGTTAGCTTCTGTTCGCTTTTTTGGCTTCCCTCAGAAGTCTTCGAACAGGAGTGCAGCTTTTCGGTCAGGACTGCTCATTTTGGGCCCGACCCGGCCAAACTATCATGATAGTTGTGTTCTCAACCTTTGCTAGTTCTAATACGTATTGCGTATTTTTACACAGTAGCGCGAATTCCAGCTCAGTCGTGGGTTTAAGCAAATTGGCTCACTCCCTACCGAATGTCAGTTCACTGTATCATGACTCATCTCATCACGCGTTTATAAGGTCGAGGAGTACAGTCGACAACGTCTCCGCCCGACCATCAAGCTCGCCGTCCACTGCTACCGCACCTCCTGCTTGTCACATCTGGTCCCTACGACCTTCAACCTATAGCGCCTCAACTACTCGCTTGTTGATCTTCATACTCTTTATCCTCTCCCTAACATCTCCATATACCATCACGGACAGATCTCTTTTATTCACTGCATATATTGATTAATGATACCAGGCGGCTACGCACTCATAGAAACTCATAAATCCGATAAAGGTCTTTAATGAAAATCAGCTCATGTGGCTCCGCTATCGCGTGCGCTAGGGGCTCTAGCCATGAGAGGCGGAGCTATATGAGCTGGTTTTCATTAAAGACCTTTGTCGGATTTATGAGTTTTCGCTCTAACCCCGCTCCCTGTGGGCGGAGTCCGGTTCTGCCACCCACCATAAGTTTTCCCCTGATGCCACTCCTGTACTCCTACAAAATTTGAACTCTCTAGGTCCATGGGAACCGGATCTATGAATTTTCGTATATGGAAATGTAAGAAGGGATGTGAGCTTCGAGGCATGCTCCGCCCATTGTGGGCGGGCCTCCGTTGACGTCATTGGTGCTGGAGACACCTTCGACAATGCTTCTCCTACATCAACTTTTTTCTGCTTTGTTGGCTCTCTCCAAACCGAGTTATAAATGTTTTCATAAGGCATTGCATTTTTGGAGAACGCCCCGCTCATCGGGGGCGGGTCTCCCCAATTCGATCTAACGTACCAATGCACACCTTTAGCCACCTATAAACCCCAGTTTTTAAGCCTTTTTGTAAGTAGGATGTTCACGCATGTGTAGTGCAGAAGTATGAGGTCAGCGGTGCGGGAAATTCCGCAATACATTACTCTACGAAAAAGGAAAACTTGGCTGTTCGTTCCACTCGGTTGTTTGCCTGCCCCTACAAATTTGTACACTCTTAATACACGGGATCAGGAGTCATAAATTTACGATCAAGCATTCATTTCGCGCACGCTCGCTCACTGTAGGAGGAGATACCATGCGAACAGGCTGCCAAAGCTCCTGGCTTCAAGGTGGCGCCAAGTACCGAGATGAGTTGCAGCATATGTCAGGGTTGTGTCGGAGCACAAACCCTCTGAGACATTGCCGAACGCTTTTCTAACCATCATTTCTGATCACTTTTCATTTCAATACATTATGGAATCCAGTGCTCTCTTGATTCAATTCAACGAGTCTTGTGACAGTGTCGATGTGGTCGGTTGTACCGAATTATCTTTGGAACTCTGCTCGCTAGCTGTCCTTCGCAGTACTTAGCCAATCCTGTCAGGGATGACTCGAGTGAGTGGAAGTTTATAGATTACGGACAGCACGGAAATCGAGCAATAATTATATATCGTCTAAGTCTTCTTTCTTATGCAGCACTACAGCCTAGTCAGCTTTACTCGACATCGGTATGTTTGCATTCACACAAGTAGCCAGTGAGAGAGAGCCACGATCCTGAAGATAACGTCAGAAGGCTCTTTAGAGTTCTGGTTCAATCTCATCGAGACCGGGCTCCGTACAATTTATTATCGACTTGATGGTTTCGAATTTTTAAGGAGCACTGAAGGAGCGACATACCAGTTTTGCTTAAGATGGTAAGCAGGCAAATAGACGTGGCGATCGAAAGGATCCGTGAAAAAGTGCACGACTATCGCTCTTCGAGATGGAGTAATTTTTACATTTGGTCGGAGCTGGCGAAGCTCCGGTGGATTTGCAAATGCTCTTCCCAGTCTTGGTGGCTTCAACCGGAACTGCTTCCTTAATTGCTTCTCCGCATAGCTCCGCAATTTCGGAAGTCTGTTGATGATTGCCGCGCGATTAGTCGATGTTCATGGAAAGTGATGTTGACCTGGACACTTATACCACCGATGTCTCTTCTGCTTCTTGTCTGGGTGAACTCGATCACATCGTACATAATTTTCCTAGCTTGAATCGTGGGATCTTCTATACTGGCTTCATTTGGTAGCATTCTTGTATTTGAAGAGATCGACATCTTAAACCTTTCTCTTTCAAGCAGCTCGTGGCAGCGAGATTCAGCGCAATCTCCTGTAAGGTTCCACTCATCGTTGTCGTATTGGGCTCCCTTAAATCGAATTCAAAGGTTCATTATATTACTGTTTTTGATATATACATAGGTACCCACAAGTAGCTTGCCAGGTGCTGACAGAAGGGCTGGACAGACTTCTGGTAGCTAGCTCAGCTATCTCTGGCCATTTATTGGAGGTGGCCAGAATCGCCTTCCGGTTACTTTTCAGTCGCATCGGCCCACGATCCTCTCGTCACCAACCCGCTAGAGATCCCTTATTGGTTAGTGGTGAGAAATCCCTTCGGACTCACGCATACACTCCCTCCCCCATACATATGTACACACAGTAGCAGTGTAGTGTAGCACGACTTTGTCCTATGCACGCTACCATTATTTCACCATCCGTACTGGTATCGTTGTAAATAGCCTTTTGACTACACACACCCTTATTCTCCTCATTTCACAGGCAGTTTAAGAAAATACTTATATTTAAAGGCGCAGTTAAAGATAATTTTTGGGTACCCCGTTTTCTACGGATAATGAAAGTGATCGTCAAGTATAGTGCAAAAAGGGCAAAAAGTGCGCGACAATCGTCGTTCTTTAAAAAAAAGCGCCAAAAAAAGTAGTGGAAAGGAGGCTCGGACAAGTTCCAGGCAAAAAATGGCGTGAAAGGGAGCTCCCTGCAGTATGTTGTGTGCAGTTGCATACAAGTGACTACATTGTCGCTAAAAAGGATTCCTGCTTCTACTATCTTCTGCATTGTGGGTGCTCTGCTGCAGCGAAGCAAGCAGAAGATGGCAGCCGCAGCAAAAAGAACAGCAAAGAATAGCGGAATCGAAATATAACACCCCTCACCACTCGGCGGTGAGGTGATTGTATGCTGAACGAGTGAGTCCTGGTGCAAATATTGCAACCAGTATCGCCTCCACTACTCCCGATATTACATCGGTCGATGGGCGTTTCACTCGGCCAATTCGGTAATGGTGCTCCTAATATGCCCTTAATTTTCTGATTCCGACAGCGTCCGTTCTGTTATTCTTGAGGGCCATTGGGTAATCCTGTGAGGGCCTTTAAAAACCTTTTGTATCGTGTGCTGTACCGGTTGGATGTCAACTTCTTCACTCTACCCTTTCACCTCAGTTGCTTATTTTTCCGACGCTTATCAGTTGATATTGGTTTTTCGCACACACCATAAAGATCCCAACAAATTCTACATGACACGCAGGGGTTTTGAATGGAGCCTTAGATGGCAGGAGCTTCCTCTACACCTG